GAAGGAGGAATAGGAGGTAAGCCAGGGTTAAGGGAAGACATCCCACAGAGAGGGCACCTGGGTGGGCCGCCCTCGCCTTTCCTGCCTCTCCAGCAGCTGGAGAGATCTCAGCACCTTCCCTCCACTGGCCCCTTGGAAACGCTGGTCCCTGAACTGTGTATGAGTGGCAGGAGCTCAGCGTGCCAATGTCTGCCCCTCCATCGCCACCTGCCAGCATATCCCCGCCTATCCTCACCCCAGGGCTCCCCTCCCTCCCCAGGCTACACACGTGTGATTGGAAGACTGCTATGAGCAGGCATCCTCACGCCACAGACCTGAAGTCAGGCAAGGCCAGAAAGCATAGTGGCAAGATGGCAGAGTGGCCCTAGCTGGTGAACTCGGGCCCAGCCGCCACAGATCCCTCTGCAGCTGTTGGGATGGATTTTTCCAGGGTAAAGGGGGCACAGCTGAGGTAGATGTAGGATGAGTAATTCAAGTCAATGTTAATTCCATCTGTCTGCCATTCTAATCAACTTGATACAATTCAAGCATCATTTACTAATACAGGTCAAATTCTGTGTGAGTTTGTGGAAGAAGGTGGGACACAAATGAACATTTACTGGGCCGTCTACCGTATGTTAGGCACTGTGCTAGCTGCTATGGGTACCAAGTTAAGGAGACGTGGTCTCCATCCTCAAGAAGCACACCATCACACACCCACATCCACACCCGGGCAGCCTTCCTGTTCTGATCTCTTCCCCCATGAAACCTGCTCCCAGGAAAGCGGCAGATAAATTAAGCCATGGCCATTTTCTCTCATTAGGCATTCTCTCCTCTTTATTTGAGTCATGAGCCTCACTCACTTTCCCACCCTGTGAGTTCTGGCTACACCCATGACTGCCCAGCCAGAGAATGTTTCCCAACCTGCCTTGCAGCTAAGTGCAGGCCACGTGATTGTGGCCAATGCATATGAGAGGAGATATGTGGAAACTTCTGTGATACACCCTCCTTTTCCTCTTCCTTCTTCCATGGGCTGGGGTGCCGACCTGGCGTACAGTGATGAGCAGCCTTTGCTCACAAAGATGAGGGCAACACCTGGTGGTTGTGAAGCAACAAGATGGAGGGAACCAGGTCCATGGACCACCTCCTGGAGCAGGACCATCCGACCTCCTCAAACCTCCTACCAGCCCAGACTTTTACACGAGAGATACGCTGAGTTCTTCAATCCATGGGAATGGGGCTTTTATTAAAGTATTCAGATCGATATCCTAACAAATACAGTGTCCCTCACTCCTAGAAGCTGAATAAACCAAAGGAATGGCTGGAGTAGGAGCTTTATCAGCATATGTTTATAACTATGACCCCAGTTCCCTTCAATGTCCCAAAGTGTCTCCCAATTCATTTATCATCCAACTTGTTGGGATGTATTGTACCTCACTGTGTGGTATCTGTTTATGGCCATATGGCTCGTGCAACATGGATACCAGTAGCCAAGAACCTCTCATTCTTCGGCCAGGGTCTGTACTTCAGTTTACTGTACATCTATGATATGTATGATGTAAGATAATCTTATCTCCACTTACAGATAAGGCATAAAAGCCCATCAGAGTCTTTCCCAAGAGCCCACAGCTAAGAGAAACTCAGCTTCTCAGACTCCCTCTCTGAGCTCTTGACCTTTCCTCAAAGAAAGAATGGTTCTCTCTCCTGGCAGACTAGGGTCCTCTGGTACCAACCAGGGAATACTATTATTATAGGATATCTTTTTTTTATTATTATTATTTCTTAAAGTAGTCATAAAAAGGACAATTAAACCACAGAAATGTGAGCACTAAAGAAGGAAACTACGAAAGTCAGCATCATGTGGGTAAGAGAATGTTTAGGAATTATTGGTATTTGAAAGTCAGCCGTTACAGGTTTACATGGTTCTTGTAAATGTTCAACCACTGGAAAACTTTCAAAAATGCCAGGTAGCCAATAGTTTCTAGATAAAAAATATATTTATATATATTATTTAAAAAGTAATAAAAACCCTGTCATTTCTGATAACATCTCAGCTTGGCTGAACAAAATAACGGAGAGCGTCTTGCACCACACTTCCTGGAAGTTTGTAAATACCAGACCACAGAGCTTGACTAATGGCCACTGGACGTGGTACCCAATGTGTGTGTTTAGAGAACTGGCTGGTGTGGGAAAGACCCAAATGTCTGTTTCTTACGTCAATGTCTCTGGCCCTGAAAATCACCAGAAAAGTGGGGCAAAGGAAGATAAAGATCACCCAGATAGAAGTGGTAAGGCAGAGCTGATGCGGGAGAGCTGAAAGCCGCCGGATGCAGGGAAAGCTTTGGCCATCTGGGATGATCACACATTTTCTTTTCCCTAAATCGCGGCAGGAATGGAGAAACGACCAGCCTTTGAGTGTCAAGACTCCGATTCAATTCCAACTCTGCTCTGGACCTCTCTGAGCTGACTTTTCCCCAGTAAAATGCACAAAACAATGCTCCGCTGATAGGGGGTTGACGTGAAGAGGCAGTAAGATAGCTGAAAAAGATTTCAAATGCTTTCAAGTGCCACACAGGTGATAATGTTTATCATGAGAAAAAAATATTGAGATGAAATACCTTTTATTACTCAGTTCTTTTGCTTATATGTGCAAACTAGCTTAGGAAAAAAGGAATCTTTTGGTTCAGATCACGGTGGACAGTAGTTACCAGAGCTAATCGCAAATATCCTATTTTTCATCCTTCCTGACACATGGTAGGATTAACATTCTTGGCTCTTTTTAAAGTTGGGCATGACCATGTGACTTGCCTGTCACTTCTGGGCAAAAGCTTTAAGAGCAAGGGTGCAATCTGCCACATTCCCTAGTCCTGTCTGGGTGATTGTGGAGGTACATGCCGAGATGAAGTTGCCACCATCCTGGACCCTAGGACTGCGGTGAGCAGAGCAGTGGCCCCATCCCCAGCCTTCATCGGCTATGCAGCAAAAATAAACTTTCATTGTGTTAAAAGCCACTGCAACCTTGGGTTTGTTGCTGCAGCACAGCCTGTGCTGACTATACTTTATTTTCTGTATTTTTGATGCTCTGGCATTTGGGGTCTTGATCTGGGGGAGACTACCCCTCTTAGGGCTAGCTAATTCCTAGTGAGAGCAAACAGCTCCCCTGAGAATACACCTTTAAATTGCAAACAAACCAATCTACAGCCACAGCCACAGCTATGTCTTTTATCAAACTTACACAGCAAGCCAATGCTCCCCCTGCCAGCACTAGGGAGCACTCCTGTAGCGCAGAGCCTGCCACAGTTATTCACACTTGCCAATTCTAAGCTTACTCAGCTATCTTCCCTGCCCCGCCATCCTTCCTGTGGAAACCCATAAAAGGCTCTGCACCTGCTGTCGCCTAGCCCTCTGACTCCTGACCAACCCTGGTCCTTCCCCATGTGGTCCTTGTGACGCTCATCACACAAAGTGCTCCTGGGAGACCAGACAAGCCCTGAATGAAAGAACTCGCCCTGAGCTCATCAGGTAGAAGCTACGTTTTTCTGAGGTAGGGTCAGGCCAACCATAAATATGGCATCTACAATCCATCCTCCCGAATAGTGGGAAATAAACCCCTTAAATGAGTGTGAGGTGAAAGGTAGCACACATTTATTGCATTTTCCAGTCCCTAAGTGCCCTCTGTATGTCACACACCCAGGGGTTCTGTTCAGGTGGATCTGGCTAAGGGAACGTCCAACTGTCCAGACACCTTCATGAGGCCCCCTGCTTCAAGTGACTTTTTATGAAGCCACAGAGGACGGGATTTGAAGATCTCTGTGGGTCACAGGGAGTGGAAGGAAAACAGGGGGATGAATTCATGACAAGGCTCTCAACCTGGAACAGTGGGCCGCCTGCCAGGGTCCATGACTCTTGTCACTGAATGTAAGAAGCTGAATGTTCATTTCCTACAGCAGGGAGCCACAGCGCTCGGCAGGTTCTCCGTGGCTATGGCCCCAAAAGGGCCGCCACTGTAACAGAAGGCAGCTCGGCGTCCAGGAGCTCGCAGACAGAGGAGCTTGGACTGCTGTTGTTTTTTTCTTGATTTTCCTGGTGTCTCACCAGGTGGGCAGATTGCTCATCTCTCCTTCAGCTCCAGTATTCTCCAAGTGGAGCTGAGTCACAGAGCTCCACAAGCCTTGCAGGGTCTTGTGTGGTAGAGAAAACTAGAGAAATCTGGGCCCGAGTCCTAATGAGGCCATTTACCAGCAGGTGACTTAACCTCAACGAGCTGATTTCCTCGTAGACAAAGGGAGGATAATAACATTGTCACACCAACTGTCATAGATGGAAACAATGACCGCAGAGAGCTTTCCACTTTCCTTCCCATTAATAATCAAAGCCTCATTATGGAGCCTTTCCTATTTGCCATAACGGTGCTAAGTGCTTTTAGCTACATTGTATCATTTAATCTTCACCAAAGTCCTATAGCGTAAGTAATATTATTATCCTCATTTAAGTTTTTACTGGGGAGGGGGAAGCATTGAGGCTTAGCGGTCAAGCACCTTGCCACGGGGAAGTAGAGCTGACTGACTCGAGTCCATCCTCCTAACCCAGGGTTCTCCTCCATCCATGCTCCCATCCATCTGCACACGCCACCCAAGAAGCTGCCAAAACCAAGTGCCCAAATAGCAGGCTGCAAGCTGTTGCTCCTGGGGTGATCTGGATAACGAGGGGGAAGGCACTATACACTGAGTCCCTGATGTGTCAGGCATGTGACAGTGATCTCATTTGGTTAGGCTCCAAGGAGTGCTTTCAGCAGAGCTCTTGTGATAAGCACATACTGTCAACCTTGCTTTCTTTTGCTCCATGTGACAAACACAGGGGAGGTGGTAAGGGTCACGTGCCTGGTTTCAGGTCGCACCATGGTCATGGGCTTAGCTGGGAATTAGGAAATTGGGATCATCTTTACAAATGACAGGCACCACTAGCCTAAGGCAGCCACCTCAGGCTAAGGACAGTAGCGACAAGAAGCGTGACCAGAATCATGACGTTCTCAGAACCGTTGTTTATTTCCAATCACCCCACTTCTTCACCCTGGAGTAGCTGCATTATATCAAGGAAGGGGTCCCCGCTTCGTGAAGGAGGGGATTAGCCTCCATTTCAGACTTCCTGAGTGGAAGGTGGTCCAGCAGGGCTGAGGGGCTCGGGAAGGCCCCGGACTTAGGGCAGGGTGGGCCGCACCGCGTGGCCCTGCTCCGGGGCTCTGCCTGGCTTCTCTACAGAGAAGCAGGGGCTGCTGGCATCGCCACCTGATTCCCGCCATGTGTTCCGGGCTGGAAATGAACTGATTAGAGCGAATGCCGGAAAGGAACTTTTTAGACAAGCTCTACCATTTGGGCCTGAGTTTTCCAATCAGCTGTGCAGAGGCAGCTAAGCCAATGCTCCCTCACGCTGCCACGCGGTAACTGAGTCGTACACAGGAGCCTCTCAAACAGGGAGGCTTCTGCTCACCAGCTTCGGAAAAAGAAAAAAGATGAGTGAGGAGAAGGGCGCGGGGGCGTGGCTGCTTCCTCCCCACCCAGCTGCGCCTTCTGGCTGCCAGCCCCTCTCTGTCCCCACCATCCCGCCTGCGGGCGGCTGGAGCTGCTGCTATGAAGGGCAGCCCGCCTGGTGCTGGAGGGGCTCCATCACTGACCAGCAGCTGGGGCAGGGCAGTGGCTGGCCGCCAGCTGGGCTCATTTGTTGGCCACGGCAGAAAGCTGGTCTCGGATGCGGCCCAGCCCGTCTAACATAGTGGCCAGCGTCTCCTTACTCAGCTCCATGGTGACAGCCGAGACGGAGGGTTTGTCCCCACACAGACGAGGGTCTTCCTGGATCTGAAAAGAGAACATGGCCCACAAGTCAAAGCTGCCTGTCTTCCTGTCGCCCTGTAGGTGAGCCCTATCTACCCTGTTCTGGGGAGCCTCTGAGTTACAGACAGTCCCTAGCCCTGGAGTCATTTAGCACTGCGAGAGGGAAGGGGACGTCTCAGAGGCTGGGGTCAGTGTCCATGTGCAAGGAGTACTCCAGGCAGGGATCTGAGAAGCCAAGGCTCGCCCCCGCCTCTGCCCCCCTAACTCAGTGAGAGAACATTCCACGTATTCAGACTGGTAATTTACGCAGTAGGCTCTAGGGGTATATAAGCATCCATAGGGATGCAAGAAAAATATGACATCTTCTATTTACATTTGTACCCTTTTTAAAAAGTGAGCTTTAGTAATATTTAAACTTAGTTGTTACAGGCACCCTTACGTTTTCATTTTCTTGTAGGTGTTGAGTTTCTGGGTGTCTGGTTAAGTAAATACAGCATTACATTATCTAGTTTTAACTAAACAAACCCTTCAAATAGATATGTGGTTTAAAAAGATCCCTGAGAACAGCTGTAAAGTGAAGGTAACACGAATGAAGCAGAGTGTGAGAACAAGAGGATGAAGAACTGACTCCTCCAGCTGCCGACAGGAGCTGGCAATCTGGCACGTTACAAGTGACAGACTGATCGCACTGACAAGAAGTTTGCTACAGGACAACATTATCAAGAAGGCAACTGAAATCTGAATGCACACTCTTATTGTTAAAGCTAAACTTTCCTGTAGGTGTGTAAGGTAACCTTTAGGTATCAGCAAATTGCTTTAAAAATTTGTTTTGTATCTTATCCTTTTAAAATTTCGACTTCTGGTAGATGTTTTATTATGTCTATAATATGTTAACAGTAGTACACATACACTTTGTAAATAAATACTGCATGGGTGGGGGGTTTAATTTTTTTCATTTATGGGGTTAGAGCTCCCTACGCTTTGGAGACTGGTATTATCGATGGGTGCCGAGTCACCGCTGCCCCCCTTTCCTTCTGGTGGGAACAACAGCGGACATACCTTCATCTGGAGCAGGCAGGTGGGGACGGCCATGCGGCTGATGCTGTCTGAGGCCGTTTTGATGTCCACTCTCCAGTCCAGGTCAACCAGGCGTGGGAGGGAGACTGTGGGGGGGACAGCTGAGCTCAGCGCTCACACGTCCCACATTTATCAAGCCTCTGCTCTGTGACAGGCAGCTCTAGGGCTGTACATGGGCAGTGCATTTGGTCCACACAGCAAGTCTCTGAGGGAGACAGGCAGATGGGGTCCAAGGCCCCGGCAGGTCAGGGCCTCACCACTGCTCCGTGCCACCTGCACATAGTGATGAATCATGGTGGGCAGCATCTCCAGGCTTCTGCCTGAACACCTAGCCCTCCAGATGTCAGGACAGAATGAGAAACGACACAAAGCAGAGAAGCTGGGGTTATGACCTGAGTTTTAGGAAACGTGTGCTTCAACAATAGTGGAAAGAGCTGTTGCTTGAGACAGACTTGGCTTGGAGATGGGTTCTCCCACATGTTTAACCTCTGAGCCTCTGTTTCCTGATCTGTAAAATGGGGATAATCTTAGTCTAGCTCCCAGGGTTGTGGGGAGGACTAAATGAGTTGATGCAGGTAGACGTCTTCAGCATAGTGACAGGCTCAGAATAAGTTGTGTGACCACTTATTAAACATCCACTTCTATTCAATGTTTCTAACTAAAAATTTCAATTATGGTTTTTTTCCTAATAGAAATATAATTATTTTAAGTATTTCATTTTCTGGTTTGTATATCTGGGTTTTTGTTTTGTTTTGTTTTGTTTTGTGTTAACAACATGCCTATATTCTATTATGTTTATAATCAGAAAAAAAATTAAAAAGTGGTTTAAAAAGAAAACCAACACACACTGTTTCTTTAGGGATCAGGTGGACTCACTTTGATTTTTGGTAAAAACTCTGGCCATCTGTTAGAAAAAGAGCTGGGGCAGGGAAGGAGGGGAAAGGAGGAGAAGGCAGATTTCGTGGTACTCACTCAGATTTGCTTGGGCTTCAGTTCTCCAAGTCGATCTGTTTAAGAGGGAAAGATGAGGTAAAAATGATAGAAAAGGGAAGAAAATTAAGTCTTCTGATAATGAAAGAGGCCTGTGGACCTGTGCCCTTTGCCCCTCTGTGATCTTCAAACCTGTAATCACCTGACAGGAAAGGAACCCAGAAACGCCTAGCTTCAATGAGCAGCTGTTTGTTTGTTTTGTAAAGCTCGGTGATGTTAAGGCCACAGGGGCTGTTAGTTTTCACATCTTGGGGTGGGGTGGGGGAAGGCTTAGTGCACTGTAATCTTACGGTGCTATCATTCTCAGAGACAAAACAGAGATCAACCAACTCTCTTTTTATTGAGCATATACTACACAATGCATTGCACTTGATGCAAAACACACCCAAACAGATCTGTCTAATGCTATAGCAAGCGTCAGAGTGAGATGACAAACAGAGTCACAGTAAAATATGGTCATGTATGAGAAAGTTTCTTAATGAACAACAAAATCCTTTGTAAACAGGCATTATCTGTTATTCTATCAGAGAGGTCTGTCTGTCCAAGCCTGCTGCTAGCTAACAGTTAACCAATTCTGATTAAATTTCATGTGTTTCTAAGGATTTTGCCAAACAAGAAAATATACAGGTAACTCACAAAAGAAGTAAAAATGACCAACAAACATAAAAAACACATTTGGCATCACTAGTAGCAAAGATATATAAATTAATATGAGGTACCTTTTGCCATTTGTGAAACTGGGAAAAAATGTAAAACATATTCCCCGGTACTGGTGAAGGTGTGGGGAGAATGGGACACTCGTGTTCTACTGGTGTAAAAATACCTGGTGCAATCTTTCTGATGGCCAACTTGTTAATATGCAGCCAAAGCCTCAATCAGTCCATTGCCTTTAAGCCAGTAAGAAAATAATTAAGCAGGTGAACAAAGTTTCTACGATAAAACTATAGTGAAAATGGCCAATAGCCTACATGTCCAACACTTGGGAATTAATTAAATCACAAGAATTTCTTCATATAATGGAATATGGTTAGCCATTAAAAATATTATCAGAGGTAAATATTTACTAACCTGAAATACCATGAACATTAATACTGTAAACAGAAGACAAGCAAGTTATAAAATGGCACGATCCTATCGTGTGAAAAACAGAAATGCAACACCAACCTCTCTGTGTATGTGTGAATGGAAAATATAACCAAGTCCGGAAAAGCTCTCCAGTAAGGAATTCATAGTAACCCTCTGGGTGGTTTACCTGCGTGTGCTTTCCAAGAATGAACATACTATTTCTAGGACAAGAACAAAAAAAGTTTTGCAAGGAACTCTCAAGAAATGAGCACTTACACATGTTCAAGGATGATTTTTGTCAGCAGGTTTTTGAGGTTTTGGTGGAAATTTTCAGGAAAGAGAGCCAGAATCGCCTCGGCAGAGGACAGGTCATGGAAGGCCGCCAGCCTGGTGAGGCGGTGCAGGGCCTGGAGCAGCTGCAGGACAGATGGGGAGCCCCGGGCGGTGAGGAGTGGGGCAGGGACCGGGCTCTACCCCTGCCTGCCACACTGCCACAGTCATTCAACTGAGTCTCACGAGGCCTCTGTCGCCGATGCTCATGCCCACGTGCCTTGGCCTGCCTCGAAGTTCACCTGTTGCTTTAGGAGACAGATGCAGCCACCTGACACAGCAAGCTGTCAACTTGCCAGACACTCTGCTTGTGGGCAGAGTTAATAAATCCCCTCTCCTTCTGCACAGAATCTGACCTTCAGCTAACTTTCTAGCCCGTTCCCCTGGTAACCCGAGAGAAGTGGGAAGTCAGCTGTGTTACTAGGCAACACGGCAGTGGTCCACTGCCTCTGGACTGCAAGGACTGCATGGTCACCCAGGGGGCCCATCGCTCCGGGCTTCCCTGAGTGTGGCTGCACGCTCCTTGCCAGAACCTGAAACTGTGCTTATTGAATTGCTACCAGCGGTATTGGCTCCTGCGGGGTTGGGGTGTTGAATCCAGGATGGCAGAAGTGTCATGACCTTGCCCCTAGGCTGTCACCTGGGAGGACAAAGAGAACGAACAGCTCCAGGCTGGCTGTGTGGAATCCCCCTGTGGGAGAGGAGTGCCTGACGCAGCCCTGCTGGGCCCCTGTATTAGCCCTAAGTCCTTCCCAGTGAATCTGTAGCCCAGTGTGGCTATGGCCGCCTTGTGACTATAACAATGCCAAGAAGATTCTCCAAAGGTAACTTCCTCTGCTTTCTCTGATGCCACTGTCTGCGCAGCTGCAGACAGGCACAGCCCAGAGGTGAGGGGACGTTAGTGGATAAGTGCTCCAACCTCTGTGCCCTCCAGGGGACAGTGCTGGGGTGTGCTTCACACGGCTTCTTCCAGGACCCCAGGAATGAGCTCCAGCTGCCCACAGTAGTAACCGCTCATTACATACCCTTTTCCCAGCTTGTCTCTCATCCCTGTTTGAGTTTCCCACTCTCTCCTTTGTGCTTTCCAGAATCACCTCCCAAATAACTACCTGCACCCACGTCTTTTGGGGAACCCAAACTAAGTCTCCAGCTCACTTCCATAATCTTACTTCTGCCGTTTACTCTTCTACAGATGACTTCAATGAACAAAACTCCAGATTAAATAAATATACAATACAATACAATACAACACAATACAATACAATATCAACAGTAACAACTTGGGGCGGTTTAGATAAACCCCTATTTTGGAAACACGTTGGCCCTGGGGCGGTAAGGCTGTGAGTGCTCCATACCTCGAGTCACTTCACTCTCCCTCTTGGCGATCGGCTGAGATCAGGTGAGATCCAGCAGTATGTCCTCCCCAACAGTACATGGGGCCCTGGGAACTTCTGCCCCGTGATCCCTGAAAAGCCTGCCTAAGCTATCCACCCAACAGTGTATCAGCACCACTAAGTTACCGGTTGAGAAAGAAAACCATACAAAGGCTGGCTTTTGGCCACACTGTCTAGATAACAAGTCTGCAAAGGAAATGGTCAGCGTCTCTGATTCTGGGTATAGCTCTCCCATCCATGACTCATTTACCACAGGGAAGTAAAGGTTCAAAGGCAACAGTTTTTAAGTTCACTAACATTCAAGAAAATCTATTTTAAGTTTGCTGTAACGTCAACAGACATTTCAGGGGAAAAATTTCCTTGGACACAGCAATGACTGGGAGGTCAAGAAAGACTCATGAGTTGACAATCCAGTGGCCAAAGGTCATTTCTGACCACACTTACTTGCTCTGCCTCCTCCTGGGTCACAGACAAGCTGGAACATGTAATATCCAGGAGTTTTTTCGAGCCAATGGCTGAAGTGGAAAAGCTCTCTTGGCATAGCTGTCTGACAACATCTTTCGAAGAGGCCTATAAATTAATTCACAGATGGGGAAAAAAACAAGACGCTGAAAATCCATGTTTTAGACACAGTGTCTCAGTATAACTGTGTCTCAGTAATGATGTGACACCTTTCAGAATCAAGATTTACAGTGCACAGGACACTTCCATTTCCGGGAGGATGGAGCAGAAGTACTGTTGCTCCTTTTTCCTGCTTAACACAACTGCCATCCCCGGGCACGGTGCAGAAAACCAGCCTAAGAGGACTCTGGGAGGGGGAGGGGGCAAGGTAGACCTACTGTGGACTTCACGACCAAGGGGTGACATGGCGGTGAGTTCCCTGGGTTTTCTTTTTGTTCGTATGTCCCAGACTCTGAGCTGAAGAAGAGGTCAACCCAATAGGTGCAGAAAGAAAAAAACTCCAGCAAATACCTGCTCTCTCTAACCAAAGCACCAAGACAGGGGCAGCCTGGCGAATGCAAAACCTCAGACAGGAACGGCTCTACTCTAGCGAGACACCACAGAGAGAACTGTGGCCCCATCCTCACCCATGTCAGCAAAGGCTGAGTGGGGAGCCTAAACATCCACCCCTGTGAGGCTGTAGGGAGGTGTCCCAATACCCCTGCTGAAGTGGTATCAGAGAAGACCAGGTAGGGAGCTGGGACCAAATAGGGAGCTCCCTGCCAGACAGTAACAAGTCCCACCACCTTGTGGTATTAGTAGAGGCTCACCCTGAAAAGAAAAAAATCTTCAAGAAAAAAAATATTGAAAGCAGTGAGAAAAACAATATCTTATCCATAAGGGAAAACCAATTAGAATGACAGCAAATTTCACATCAGAAACCATGGAGGCAAAAAGGAAGTGACACGATATTTTTCAGGTGCTAAAAGAAAAGAACTGTCAACCTGGAATCCTACACCCAACAAAATATCCTTCAGGAATGAGGAGGCAATCAAGACAGTCTCAGGTGAAGATGAAAATTTGTCACAAGACCTATTCTAAAGGAACGGCTGAAAGACTAGGTATATAAATGTTGAATAACTATTGTGTATACCTAAAACTAATACAATATTGTATGTTAGCTATATTTTAATAAAAATCTTTTTAAAAGAATGGCTAAAAGAAGTTCTCTTAACAGAAAGGAAACAATAAAAAAAAAATCTTGGGGCCGGCCGAGTGGCACGATGGTTGAGAACTGGCTTGGGACGCCAGAGGGCCCTGGTTCGGATCCCACATATGAGGGCCAGTGACACTGACCTCTACAGCTAAGATGCTGAACAACAGCTCAACCTGGAGCTGGGCTGCCGTGAGTCGCCGGCGACGGCGTAGGCTGCAGCCCCTGTGGCAGTGGGTTGCCATGGGCTACCGTGTGTGGCCAGCAGCCATGGCCGGCAGCCGCAGTGAGCGGCCGTCCAGAAGCCGGCGACTGATCTGCCTCGCCCGGGAAGAGCGCAATGATGGTGCCAACTTGGGCCAGTGAAGCAACATCCTCCACAACTAGACTGAAGAACAAAACCACAGCAACTTGTCTGTTCCCCTTCCCCCAATTCCCCAGCACTGTTCCCATCCCCCCAATTCCCCAATAAAAAATCTAAAAAAAAAAAAATCTTGGACTATCACACAGAAAGAACATGAGAAGCAAAAATATGGGTAAACACAACAGGCTTTCCTTCTCTTGAGTCTCTAAATTCTACTTGAAAGTTGAAAAAAAAATTATACCATTGTCTGATGTGGCTCTACATCAGAGGAAATGTTTAAGACAATTATATTATAAATGAGGGAAGTAAAGGGATATAAAGGAAGGCAAGATTTCTATACTTTAACTCGTAAATTGATGACACTGATAGGCTGTGATAAGTTATATATATAAATTTAATAACTAGAGAAATCACTAAAAAGGTTATAAAAATGCACTTTAAAACACTACAGATAAATCAAAATGAAATTCTAAAAAATGTTCAAATAATCCACAGGAGAGCAGGAAAAGAAAAAAGAAACAAAAAACATAAGAGAACAGACAGGAAACAAAAAAATAAAGTGGCAGACATACGCCCTAACATATCAATAATTACATTAGTTGTAAATGGTCTAAATATATCAATTAAAAGACAGAAATTGACAGAGTGTATTAAAAAGTATGACCCATCAAATGCTGTCTACAAGAAGCTCCCTTCTAATACAGCAAAGAAAATTACCAGAAACAGAAAGGGACGTTATATAATGATAAAAGGTTCTATTTACCAAGAAGACATCCTAAATGTGTATGCACCCAGCAATAGAGCTGCAAAATATGTGAAGCAAAAAACTGATAGAACTGAAAGGGAAAATAGAGCAATCCACAAATAGAGTTGGGGACTTCAACATCTCTCTGTCAACAAATGACAGAACAACTAGACAGATATTCAACAAGGGCACAGAAGAACTCAACAACACCATCAATCAATCTAATTGACATTTATGGAACACTACCCAGTAGCAGCGGTATACGCATTCTTTTCGAGTGCCCACTGAACATATATCAAGAGAGATCATATTCTGGACCATAAAGCAAGCCTCAACAAATTTAAAAGACTGGATATCATACAGAGAGTGACCACATGGATCAAACTAGAAATCAATAACATAAAGATGACAAGAAAATATCCAAATACTTGCAAATTTAAACAACACACTTCTAAATAATCCACACATCAAAGAGGAAGTCTCAAGGAAAGTTTAAAAAATTATACTGAATGAATGAAAATGAAAACAACATACCAAAATTTTTGGGACACAAGATAGGTTTGAGAGGAAAATGTATATCATTAAATACATACATTAGAAAAGAGGGAAAGTCTCAAATCAATAATCTAAGCTCCTACCTCAGAAACCTAGAAAAAGAGCATAATAAACCCAAAGGAAAGAGGAAGGAAATAATAAAGAGCAGAAATCAATGAAATTGAAAACAGAATAAGAGAAATCAATGGAACAAAGAACTGGTTCTTTGAAAATATCACTAAAATTGACAAACCTTTAGCAAGATTGAAAAACTTAAAAAAAGAGGGGACACGAATTAACAGTATCAAGAATGAAACAGGGCAATTATCACTTACAGACCCTGCAGATTTCAAAAGAAAAATAAGAAAATAACTCTATACACATAAATGTGACAGTTTCAATGAAATTGATCAATTCCTCGAAAAGCACAAACTGCCAGAACTCTTCCAATATGAAACTGATAATTTGAATAGCCATATAACTACTAAGAAAATTAAATTCATAATTTTAAAACTCCTAAGAAAAGATGTGTCCAGGCCCAGATAGTTTCACTGGAGAATTCTAACAAACATTTAAAGAGCAAACTAACTCATTCTACACAATCTTTTCTACAAAACAGAAGAGGAGGGAACATTTCCCAATTTATTTCATAAAGCTAATATTACCCTGATACCAAAATAACACAAAGATTATACAAACAAAACTACAAACCAATATCCCTCATAAAAATAGATGCCAAACCCCTTAACAAAATATTAGCAAATAGAACTCAGCAATATATAAAAGGGATTTTTCACTATGACCAGATGGAATTTATTCCAGGGATGTGAGGCTAGTTCAATATTTGAAAACCTATGTAATCCATCATATTAATAGGCTCAAGAAGAAAATCACATGATATCTATCAATGCAGGGAAAGCAGCTGACAAAACTCAACATCCAATCTTGAAGAAAACTCTCATAAAAATAGGAACAGAGGAAACTTCTTTAACTTGACAGAGCATCTACAATAAACCTAAAGATAACATTATGCTTAATGGTGAAAGTCTAATGTTAGAAAGAAGGTAAGGATGTCTGCTCTCACCACTCTTACTCACTGTAGTGCTGAAAATTCTAGCCATTTAAATAAGGTGAGAAAAAGAAATAAAAGAGGTGTACAGATCTGAAAGGAAGGAATAAAACTGTCCCTATTTTCAGATAACATGATTGTCTATGCAGAAAGTCCCACGGAATGTATTAAAAAACTAGAGTAAGTGAGTTCAGCAAGTTAGCAGATACAAGAGAAACATACAAAAATCAGTTGTATTTCTATATGCTAGCAAGGAACAAGTGGACACTGCAATTAAAAATACAACATCATTTGCAATTGCTTGAAAAAAGAGAAATACTTACCGTATTTGCCGGCGTGTAAGACGACCCCCTAACATTTCCACTCAAAATACAGAGTTTGTTATATACTCGCCGTATAAGACTACCCCCTCTTCCGCACACCTTCCACACACCAAATA